TATGTTTAGAGTGAGAACAGCATCAACATTAATCATAACTAACATGTTCTGCACTATTCTGTGTGAGTACTATGCTAGCTATCAAGTGCATTATCTAATTTAGTCATATATGGATTGTTTTTCCAAGTGCATGGGCAGCTGCTATAACCAAAAATATAAATTAGATTAAAAGTTTTCCTAATCATAGTTTTTGTCTCCCAACTAAAAACATTAAAATTGTAGTTACACATGGAAGGGTTTGAACAATTTTTTGACCTTCAACTGACCTTCTATTTGAAAATACTGAGAATGAATATCTTAGATGGAGAAGAAAATTCAGTTCTACTCAGTGTCTATCAGGAATGGCTCTGAGGAGGGTAACAGCACAATGTGGAGATGGGGAGGCGCTTGACGGGACTAGTTTAGCAAAAGGAAGTAATAGAGACAGGACACTCTATAAATCCTTCCACCTCAACAAAGAGACTACAACTATAAAAACCCCAATTCAGGGAATGTTGTAAAGACGTCATTCTAATGCAAGCAAATACCAGCCTCTGGGGTTAGAAGATCTTGTCTGAGAGGAGCTGGGAATAGGGTCCGGGGGGCTTTCTGCAGGAGCCAAACCCTAAGACAAGTGTGGTTTGAGTTGTTAACTGGGAAAGGTGGTTTGACTTAGAGTTAAGAGAATTGGGGTTAGATTTTAACTCTAGGAAGGAAGAATATAGTGGAAGTGAAGGCCCCCCAGTCAGCCATCTCTGGGGGACACTGTAGAGTGCCAACTGTATGCCAGAGTCAGGGTACAGAAAGAGGTCCAGAGTGGGCGAAATTGGGTCAGAACAGGTTAGAAACGTCCACTAGACTCTTCAAGGTAGAGCTGAGAGCTTACTCACCCAAAGTTGATCCTAGTGCCTCAGGCCTCATGACTCTTTGGCTTGTTGTTCACCAGATGTAGAGCATGAAGGTGCCTGGAATCTAAGTACATTTAGTTAGGATGGGAGGATATCCCCTTCTGACACATTCTGTTAGTTCTGGGGGTGCAGGTGATTGGCATGAGTGACATGTTGGAGGCAGCTTATATGTACCTGTATTTAGTGACATCATCCAGGTGGTACCTTGAAATTGACCATGGTGGGAACATTTGTACCTTAGAAATCAGTAAAGACTACAGTCAGCCTCTTTTCCCACTTCAAGAGCTGGTTCACCAGCTTACTACTGGTTGGCACAATTCACAAGTGACTGGTTATGATACAACAATGGTACCTAATCCCAGGAGATATAATTCTATGTGAATTGCTCCAGGGAGTTTTGTGACACAGTCTTAATGATTATTGCAGGCAGCTGACACCATTAGGACATTGCAGCAGGACTGATAACCACTCTAGTTTACCTTGAAAATGTATCAGAAATCTACTTTCACATCACCTGCCTTAAAATAAACCATGGTGAGAATATGTTACAAGGGTAAGAATACATAATGTGGTCTTCACTGGAACTACATGGTGTCAGCTGCAGTGTGCATCTGTGGCCACCCAGTGTTTTCAGGTTAATAGAAAGTCTGACTTTCTTTTCAAATGCAAAAGTACAAATTGATGTTATTAGAGTTCTTGCTTATAAACTTTGAAAGCTGGTTTAACAAAAGATTTAAGGAACTGTATTACTTACGGTTGGAAATTTCCACAAGAATGCAAAAGTGATTTGCTGCTTTGCCTTTATCAACTTCAAGCAAAAGTTTAAGGTGAACCAGTTAACTTGACATTAAAGCATTGGAAAGCCCATGGTAACAGATAGAATGTCCCAAGATGGTGGTTCCACTTAGTGTTAGTCTGATATGAAATTAAAATTGAAACATG